ATCCTCTGCACTCTCCCCCTCCTCCTCCTCCTCCTCAGTCTCTCTCTCTCTCTCTTTTTCTATCTCTCCTCCTCTTTCTTCCTCTTTCTCCTTTCCACTAATGCAAGAGGACACAAAGAACAGAGAGAGACAGAGACAAAGTGACAGCGAGAAACCAGAGGGACAAGGAGTGAAATAAACACAGAGCTCATAGTGGTCAAGCAGCAGCAAGACATATATAAGCAATAATTGGAAAGCCTTAGATAGATAGATAGATAGATAGATAGATAGATAGATAGATAGATAGATAGATAGATAGATAGATAGAAATGACAGAGCGAGCCAGCAGGAGGGCACAGGCAGAGAGTAATAGTTAAGGTACTCAGACAGCAAAACAATGATGGATTATAGGCATTTAGTGAATGGGCATTTGACATGGTTTGTTTTGGGTGGAATGTGACACAGTGTCCCTGGGGTCCATGAGTGCTTTCCAGGATAGAAAAATGATGCATAAACCTGTCTGCAGACAGACACTGAAAATTCAGCATTTCAATTTAATAATCTGCACACACAAAGAAAAAAAACTCCTAAAAACTGAAAGAAAAATAACATTATAAAGCAAACAAAAGAGCTTAGGGAAGAATGCGCAAGCTACAACTTTTTGCCATGTGGCTAGTAAGATTGTTTCCCAAGAAATCAGACCAGTATCACATAGCATTTAGGAAGCAGACATGGAGCCTTTCCGCTAAAGTAATCTGAAAAATACAGCTGCTAAAATATGAGAAAACCTTTAGTTTGCTGTAAGAAATGGGTGTTGCTACCTCTGGGACCTTGGGCAATTGCTCCACATCTTCTGCTGAGTGCTCTGGGTCCTGAGGCCATGACTGCCAACCACTGCAGGCACCGGCATCTGACCCTGCCACACCGCCTATTAGATCTGACCAATGGGCAATGCAAAGTCAAGGGCTCCTCCTTGGTTTTGATGTGTTACATGATCCACAAGACGGGGAAAAAATATTTTTGCTCTACAGTGAGCCACACAATTGAAGGTCTGGTGAATGCAGGGATGGAGAGGAAAAACGGTCCTGGGAGGAGGATTTAATTTTTTCTTAGTAAATATATCGGCATGGGGAGGTAATTTATGCTTAGAGGGGGATTACAGGAGGATATTTGCTTGCCAGGGAGCGGGCCGATCAATGATGGGGGGGGATTTTCCTGGGGTGAGAATTCAGCATGGAGTGTCGTTTAAGGGGGATTTTTGCTGTGAAGGAGAGAGGGGAGAGTGTTGCTTGGAGGGGGGGATTTGGGTGTTACGTGCTTCTGATCCTTGCACTCTGTGCATCTCTTACTTTGAACTCCTGTACTCTGTGCCATACATACTCCTGATTCCTGCCCTCTGTTCATTATATACTCCTTACACTGTGTGTTACAACCCTAACCCCTGCACTCAGGGCC